GGATGGGGCTCTGGGCAGCCTGGTCTGGTATTAAATGGGGAGGTTGGTGGCCCTGCATGTGGCAGGGGGGCTGGAGATTCATGATCCTTGAGGTCCCTTTTAACCTTGGCCTTTCTGTGATTCTGTGGAGATCTTGCACCTTCCAGGTGGTTTTCCTTTGTTTCTATTTGTTATTCTGTTTCACTTTTTCTTATACATTGAAGCAGTCTGGAGGGATCAGGCTGCCTTTCCCTGGGGAAACCAGAGCAGTGCATCCATTTGGCTGACTGCTCTGCACTCCTCCATAGGCACTGTGAAGGTGTGGGACCCGCGGCAGAAGGAGACCCCTGTTGCTAACATGGAACCTGCACAAGGAGAGAGCAAAAGGGACTGCTGGACCGTGGCTTTTGGTAACCAGTCATAACAGCCCCCTCTAATGGGACTGAGTTTTGACAATTATTAAACTACTGAAGCCAGGGTTTGTTGTTCAGTGTTAATTTGTGTATTTTCAATGTGTTGGCTCAGGTATCATTTTCTTACCATCTCTACTCAATTGCTTCACAGACAAGCTTTATTTCCAGGCATTTTTACAGCCCTAGCGTGGGAATTGAAAATTTCTATGTCTAGGAATGTAAAAGCAAAGAAACTGTTTTTGTCCTGGAGGGGTCTAATTGTGGTTGTGCACAGAGAACCAATAGCTGGTGTTGTGTAGTTCCAGCTGTCAAGCATTAAGACATTAATTTAAGTGACAATCCTCAGAGCTAAATAAAGGCAGCAGAGATGCTTGACGTGTGCTCAGCACTTTTCCTTTAAAAAGGCAAGCTGCTTGCATTGTACACCAGCAGGTATTTCTGGATTAGCTCTGTTTCTGCTTCCAGAGTCAGGCAGTGAGTTTTACAAACTGCTAATGCATGCATGGATTATAATAACAAAACAGGGAGATGGCATTTCTTGGCAAGAGGTCCAGCTTCAGTGCTTGTTGCTGTTGAGATCTTTGCCTTCTGTTTTGACTCACTGAGAGAAGAGTGGCCTCGTACTTCCTTAGATTTGCCTTTGAGTTACAGATGCTTGAGCCCAGGCCACGTCCATCCCAAAGTCTGTGCTTTCCATCCAGGTGAACTTCTGGCAGACACTGCTGTGCATCCCTGAGCCTGGCTGCTGGGAAGCAGCACTGAGATGGCTGGTGATGGCTTTGGTAACATCTAGTGCCTCCTCAGCACTGCTCAGCATGGTTTGCAGCAGCTGAAGCAGTCTGTGTAAGTCAGGCAGTGCTTGGCAGGGGGAATAAAAACTTGTTGATTCTGTTTAAAGAAAAGGACTGCCAATTTTGAAGCTGTGTTCTCTATACCTTTCAGGCCTGAAAAACAGCCTGCTCATTAAATCTTACTACAGTAATGCTTTGCTGGCATAAATCTAAGTTGAAATTGCTGACTAAAGACAACTCAAATTTACAGCCTAACAGGGGTTTCTGTACAGTGATTAATTCTGTCTGTGTGTCCAGGCAATGCTTACAATCAAGAGGAACGCGTTGTTTGTGCTGGATACGACAATGGGGACATTAAATTGTTTGACTTAAAAACCATGTCACTGCGATGGGAGACCAACATTAAGAATGGGGTAAGGTGCCATGGAAACATGGCTTCATTCTGACTTCTGTACGTGTATGTTTTCAGGCAGTCGTGTTATTGCCAAGTTGGTGATGTTGTAAGAATAACCAATGATTAGATACGTATTTGCAAATCACACACACAAATATATGTTCTTAGCAGTGGCTGCATGTACTGATTTCTCTATTTTCAGGTTTGCAGCGTGGAGTTTGACAGAAAAGATGTGAATATGAACAAGCTAGTGGCCACATCACTGGAGGGAAAATTCCATGTTTTCGATATGAGGACTCAGCATCCGACTAAAGGTTTTGCTTCTGTTTCAGAGAAGGTATGGGGAGATGGATAATTTCTTTAGCAGCATCTTTTACAGAAGTTTGTCTCTTAAGTAGCTGGAAGCAATGCAGATTTAAAATTATTGTCTTTGGTAGGCAATAGGATCCCAGGTTACTGGGGTAAGCTGTGTGATAGCATGGCCTTTGAGCAAGCAGTGAAAGGACTCCCAGGCATCCCGATGCCAGTGCTTCCCAAGGCTTCCTCTCTTTCATAGCCTGTTATTTGGGCTCCTCTGGTCTTTGGCTTCTGTTGCAGCTCTGTGCACTCAGCTGTGCCCATAGTCTGGGGGTCATATATGTTGCAGGCTATATCAAATTGTGATGAGCATGCAGATTCAAATCTTAAATGTATCCAGAAATAAAGGGAGCTCTCTGAACACACTTCTTTTTTTTTTTTTTTTTTTTTGTCCTGCCTGTATGGGCCTTATGTGGGCCCTGGAAATACTTATTTTCCTTCAGAACCAAGCATTTTTGATTTACAGTATGATGAATAAGTGAGGACATATGGAGAGAGACATACTGGCTGAGTTTCCATTTCATATCTTTAAATTACTATTTTTCACATCACCAGGTAAAGCAGGTAAGACGTTGGTTTAATCAGATAGCACAAAAGTATTTACTGAATTAGAGTTTGTAGTAATGACACTGTGAAAGTGGAAGTTCTTATCTTTCATTAATTGCATTTGAAGTTTTCTTTTCTGACATTTGTAGACAGATGTGCATCAGATCAGGTCATGCATGTTACAGATTTCTGTTGCCTGGCTGAGATTTAAATTTGAATTTTAGATGCTCAATTGTGTTTGCACAATGTTTGTAGTACATTCACTTACAGTAATGTTATTTAGAGATGTCAGATGGTGAAATTAGCCCCATGGTGATGATGTCACCTAAGAGTCTGGAAATTGAGTACTTCTACAAAGCTCCCGACATGCTTTTACAGCCACTTGACCTATTTAGCCATGCTTAGATGGCTGGTCATGAAGAAGATGAAGTAGTGTGGTGGCCTTAGTAGGGCTGCTGCTGCCTTACCTCTGCACAGGAGTGGGGCTTTTTCTGCCTGGGAACTGGCTGTTCCTGTGACAGCAAGGTTAAGGCAGGAGGAAGGGAAGGTACCTCAGAATGGTTGTTCCAGTGTAAAGTACAGCAGTCATAGAATATGACTGGATTGGGTTGGAAGGGACCTTAAAGTTCCAGTGCCCCTGCAGTGGAAGATGGTCTCTTCATACAGGTAACTGCAGTGTAAAATTTTTGCTTTCTTTCTTGCAAAGCTCAGCTGTAAATGACTCCTGTACAATGCTGATTGTTTCCTAGGCACACAAATCCACCATATGGCAGGTTCGGCACCTCCCACAGAACAGAGATGTATTTATGACGAGTGGAGGAGCTGGGAGCCTTCATCTCTGGAAATAGTAAGTGATAGTTACAGACAGTGATAGTTATAAACCTTCTGGTCTATAATGGGGAAATAAGAAACAAAACAACTGTTTACTGTTTTAAGAAGGAACTGTCCTAAAAATGGTATGCAGGGTCCCACTTCCAAGCTCAGAACATCTCATTGGAATTACTGGTACAAGTACAGTGGAAAAGTGATTCTGGTGTCAATACTCAATCTGGAATCCTGAATTAATTCCTAAAAGAATGGGATTGCAACAGCACAAGTGAAATTAGCCCTTTTCATTTTTCTTTATATAATCAAGATCTAATTATATTCCCAGTTAATACTGAGTAGAAGAAAATAGATTTCTTAAAATTCTCATATGGGAGCAATTACATCTTAGAAAAATATTGAAAGCCTGGACTTTCAATGATTCTTTGTATCTTCTCACACTACATAGCAAAATAATTTGGTCATCCTAAATGCAGTGAAGTAGATGCATCAAGTTTCAGGGAGGCAGCTGAGGTGGAACTGTTTGCCTGTGACAAAAGCATCACTGTTGAAAAATAAAAGGCTGTAGGAGAGAAATATCAGGACTCAAAACTTCCTGCCTCATTGTTTTGCTATGAAATACTTACTAAGTATGCAGTGTGGCTATACCTGGATATGATGGCTCATTATTTTGAAGACATTTGCCTTATCTTTAGAACAGGAGAGACCTTTCTGTGTGGTCTTCTGAGCGGAGAATGATATTGCTGTTTGTCTCAGCAGATTCTAAGTGCACGTTTTACTTTTCTTTTTGCTAGTGAGTACCCAGCTCAGCGCTCAAAGAAGGACTCTGAAGGAGCTGAGATGGGGGTGGCAGGTTCTGTCAGCCTCTTGCAGAATGTGACTCTGTCAACACAGCCGATTTCTAGCCTAGACTGGAGCCCTGACAAAAAGGGGCTGTGTGTTTGTGGTGCCTTTGACCAAACTGTGAGGGTACTGATAGTTACCAAGCTTAACAAAGTTTGACAGGAAAACTGGGATTTCTGATGAGAAAGCAATATAGTTTGCAGTCTGTAAATATGGGAGTAGGGCCCTACTGCTTTTAATTTAATTTCTCCTTTGTTAGAACTGGATTAAAGAAATAGAAACCAGATCTTTCTATTGAAAGTTCAGATACATGCACTTAAGAGTTGTTTGATTGTGCTACGATGACTTGAAAAAGTTTCCTGGGCATAAAACTTTTAACTTATGGAAATGTAAATTTACATTAAAATAAAATGTGCCTTTCCATTAACACAACCCGTAACTAAAATCACATGAATTGCTTGTATTCAGTTTAAGCACAGTGCAAATCCATGTGTGCTTATGGAATTGTTTGGCTGTTTTGTATGTAGTGATGTCCATATGCATTCATGCTGTGGAAGCTACTATATGCTTCCCCCATAGAAACTCTGTGCTTACTGGAATATGTTAGAATGTTTGTTAAAGTGACTTAGAATTCTTTAATACACTATAGAAACTACAATGAGTACTAAATATCCAGGTTTAATGGTGTGAAGTTTTTGTTGAAGATGGTATCCATGCACTGTTTTATTATTTTAGTTCAGTTTTGTAATAAGTTTTTAATGTTCTGTTGATTTTTTTTTTTATATCTGTTTTTAACTTTGTATTCCACAAATAAAATTATTTGGGGCATTGTTTCAATATGAATAAAGTGTGTTATTCAAACATTTTGATACTTAGAGAAGGAATGTGCTCCCAAGAATGCTGTGTAGTTCTTGGAAGTCCATTATTTTGCAGCAGAAGTTACGAAAGCTAACTCCCTTTCTTAAAAACTGAAAGTATGTTTTGGCAACCTCATAAAGATTCAGTATGTCTTCAAAACCAGCTGTGCCAGAGTAGCTTTGTTGCTGTCATTGTGCCTAAACTTCTCTGTGATTCCTCTTGCCTACGTGATGCTTCTTCTCTGAACAGAGTATGTTTCTGCCAGCTATTTCTCACATGCATATCCACTTACTGCCCTCTATGTGTGTACTGAGGAGACTGGTTCATAATGTTAGCAAGCTTTAATTGTTTCACTGATAACATTCTTTGTCTGGTTATTAGCCTACAGCTGACTTGTTTGTATAGATACAAGTCTCAGTTAAAAGGATTTGACTATTTCTGAAACCAGATTATGGTGGGAAAGTGACAGCTTTGCCCACGCTAACAACAAGAAAGCTCCTGTGTGTCCATTTGCAAAGAATTTCTGTTTTCTCAGTCTTTGGAGTGAGGAATTGCTATCTGATAAATTCAGGCGAGCCACCTGCCCTGCTTCTCAAGCCCAGTGTTCCATGGGCTGCTCCTGAAAACAAGAGGCTGCTTTGCTGAGGCACTGAGGTCTTATGTCTATGCTGGTCCTGCCACCAGCTGTTGTCTGAGCAAGATGCAGGAAGAAAAGGAAACTGCATAATACTGGACATTAAGATAGGGCAAGTGGCAAGTAAGGGAAGTAGTGTGGAAGCCAGAGGCTATAGAAATTAAAAAAGGAAACTGGGCTGAAAGGTGAGCTCTGTCAGAGGGGTCACACTAAATCCAGGATCAGGTAGTGAGAGAGATGGTGGGAGTGCAGAGTTCGTGCTGTGAGGAGCTTCAGGCTGCATGGGAATAGTTCTGAAATCTTAGCAAAGCTATTCTCTGCTTGCTGGAGGGCTGATGAGTTTTCTGCTGCAGCAAGTCATGTGCTGGGGGGGAGGCAAGTCTTAATGGTCTGAATGTGCTGATGGATCCAAACTGGATCAGCTAAGTCACAAATTTAAAAGAGAAATGAGACTCAGATTTGCCTGTGCTGTGTCAGTCAGCTGCTTTGGGGCTGTGAGAGAGCAGCGTTGGATTGAGAGACTGTACATTTTTCTTCTGGTCTAAGAAGGTTTGAGCTAAATGGAAGTGAGGCAAAACTGTTCCTGTTAACTCCCAGGTATGTTAATTGATTAAGCCAGCTGAGGAAAAGGATAGGCACCTCTGGGCAGAAAAGGCTCAAAGGCCTTAGACCTTGTGGAACAGAGAAATCATGAATGCCTGTGTAGCAGTTAGGGGTTGGCAGGAAAACCACAATAGACTGTAAAACCATCTGTGGAAGTCCAGTGGGAAGGTCCTGCAGCATAGCCAGAACTGTGGGGATCCCCTGGCAAGGAAACATTCCAACACTGTGGGCAGGCACCAGAGCTGCTAAGGCTGAGCCCAGAATTTGAGATCCTTGAGCAAAGGTTAATGAGGTCTGTCCATCTGCCAAAAATGTGCAGCATTCACTTCTAGCTTTGTGCAGATAGGCATGCAGGTTTCATTCTGGCTTGGCAAGCAAAAGGCAGGTTGTGTAGCATGTTAGTTGTATGTTGGCCCACAAGTGATCTTTCAAGGCTAAATATTTATCAGAAAGCAAAGACTTGAGATCCAGCTGTCTCCCATAGACTTGATGGTGTACTTGAAAGTGTAATATCTCATGTGTGTATAATAGATACCTATTTGACACAGGTAATGCATCTTCTAATATACATGGCACAACAGTGAGAGCACATCCTGAAATTATTTTTAATGTTGTCCCTTTTAGGATGTATTCTGGGCTGGAAGAGAGTAGAGAGAACTGTTGTTCAGCAATCTTGGCTGTAGTGCTCTTTGTAAAGCCAGGGATGGCCACTTCAAAGAAGCAAGTCAAGCTCTTGAGTCTGAAGTGTGTCATTCAAACATGAGCTCCATTAGCTTTGTGCTGTAATTGAAATATACTTACTGAAAGGCATGCTGAGCAGCAGAATTTGGGGGAAATGTTGTTTCCCTCTTTAATAGTAATTCTGGGTGAAGAACAGAATGAGGGAAGAAAAAGCTCTCAGTATAGATGTCAGTAAGCAAAAACAAAGAATGGCAAGTGCAGCACTGGGCTCGTGGTGATATACTTTTATTATATACTTGGCCTGCAGCACCAATTTCCATTCCTTATACAAGCAACTCCAGGGTGAACTCCTAGTGAGCCTAGATGATAGTGATACAAACCAACAGCAAAAACTAATTAAACAACACTTCTTAATGCTCCATGCACTCAAAAAGATGAAATTTGTATTACCTCTAAGTGCTTAATTTTGATATTGATCTTATTTGTTGTTTTAAGAAGTAGGGAATGGGATTCCCTGACGAGAAGCGTGTTGCATGGAAACGTGTGACAGCTTTTCATGGTGAAAGTTTGTTTAAGAAAAAACAAACAAGAAACAACTAAGAAAGCTGGAGGAAAGCACAGATGAATTATAGTGTTGTGTTTGCTCAGGAAGGATAAGTGGCTATATTTGTGTACCTGAAAATAAGGAAGATAGTTATTAGTTGGAGGAAACTTCTGCTGCCAGTGTCTGTACTACACTTCATCTCCTTGGCACATTGGATTTCTGCTTTTCCCAAGCAAAACGAGAAACTTAAGCAGACCAAAAACAGCCCGTGGCAGCCTAGTCTGCTCTATTTATAGTCCCTCCCCCTCTTGCTGAAGACTGGCACTTTGCCTCTGTAGCCTGAAAGCAGAAGAGCTACAGCATGTTCTAAATAAAATCATAACGCAGCAGAAATGAAATGCACAAGACCCCTCTGATGCAGTACTGAGGCGTGCCCTGGAAAACTCCAGCTTTGTCCAGGCATGGAATGTGCTACTGAGTTTGATGGTTTTATTTATCATCAGCAACCACATCTAGTAAATGTACCTTCATGGCAGCTACTACTTGTTTCCTGTGCAAATCATCCTCGTATGTATGTGGCAGGATCTATTTATGGGCATGACTGCAATGAGAATGTCACACGTTTTTTTTACAGGTGTCACCCAGGTCCCCAGCTGTTACACATCAGTTTCTTCCTTCACATCAGTTACTTTGAGTTTCACCATTTGTACAGGCCGTTGGGTATTTCAGCCCCCCAAAGTTTTCCATGCAGGGAGCCTATGTATGGTCTATGGTGTATTGTTTCCATCACCAGAAAAAAATATGTAGAGGTTTAAGCCATGATTTGGATTGAATTTTAAGCAGAGGATCACAGGTGTTAA